AGCACTTCGTTACTTCCCTCGATGTGCAGCATGGATTCACTCCCAACAAGGGTCAACAAAGCCTAACCCAACTGCAGCTGCCCAACTTGCCCGTTGCCCCATGTTTTTGGTCCTGCTTCGTGTCTATGGCAACATGTTCGGACTCTTTTCGCTCAGCGACACTTGTGCGACGCTACCAGTCATGGCCACGTGCTGTCGTTCCGCGCGCTTGAGGAATAGTTTCAATGAGATGGGACCTAGCTGCTAGCTCCATGTTGCAAATGCAATATCCATATATCCCAAGAGCCAACAGCCTCGACTTTCGCAACATCTCCGGGATCCAGGAGCCGCCAGCAGCCGTCACTGGAGTTGATCCGTCACTGTGGGGTTGTTGAGGCATTGCTACATCCAGCGAACGGCCTTTTGGTCGAAAGGTAAAGCTTGTAGCCGATGTAATCTGCTTGCCTGGTCCTGCAAGCAGTTAAAGAGGCGCATAGCACAAGTTGTGTAGATAAGATACATTTTAGTGTGTGTGTGTGTACACTGTACATATACAATATATACACACATACACACCGGATATACATAATATCCTGCATCAGGAGCCTTCTGCTCACCACGGCCACCCTGCAGGAAAAAAACACAAGGCATATCAAGGCTAGTCACCAAGGAAATTTATACAGAGGATCTGGGCGATGGGGATTATATTCCTTGATCCATTTTGATCCCATTCAATGGTTGGCTTCAGTTGGCTTCAGTTTTCTCTATCGAGACACTGCTGCAAGTCAATCACACACAAGACCTGGTCACGCACCAGTCAGGAAACATGCGTAAGCTGTTCAACCTCAGGGCAATTTGCCGTCATAGGGTCATAACTCGGTCCTCTTTGTGGAGCACCTCCCATTTCGGCCACCCATTTTTGTGAGGAGCCTTGGCCAAACATACCGTGAGCTCCGGAGACGAAAAGGTCCAGCCAGAGGACTTGGGTTGGATCTTGTGCATCAACTCACCTGGCTGGCTAGGACTGGACACTGGACAAGAAAGGGGTTGAAGAACATGTGCGAGAACCACAAAGAACCACATGTTTGGACACGAAATCGAATATGTCCCAAGTTTGGTCAGAATCCGTTTTAGAATGTTTTAGATGTTCTTACAGGGCTTTAATGTCTTGCCGCTTCCAAGGCCCAGAAGTGATCCACTTCCAAGTTCCAGCTTTGCAACTTCGATTTCAACGGCGGGTGGCGGGCGGGTCATGGCGCCTTCGAAGAGTGTTTGGTCCTGGACACGCACCAACAGCCACTGGTCCTGGACACGCCAGACCGTCACAAAAAACAACAGGAAGAGGGAATGAACGAGAGCAGCCCACGCTGGTCTTGTCCGATCATCAGTTTCGGTATGTGTTGGTCACTGTTGCCACTCATGGGTATGTACTGAGATGAAAGCAGGGTAAAGGAGGGGGCAACCCACCCCTTTCCCTTCCTCCCCATCCAGCAAAGCCCCACAAATCCACATCAAGTTCAAGCTTAGAGGCTCCTAAGCGTGCCTCTAGGCTTGAAGTTGCTTGGGGCGTCTTGCTTCACATCACTGATGTTGAGAGGTCCGACAGACAGGATCCTTCCCGGATAGGAGCTCCTGGAATCTGATGTCCACATCACGTGCTTGACATGCCACAGCTAGGGTCCAGTGGGCAAAAACCTCCGTCGGCTGATCCTCCAGCACAAAATCAGCTTCCGGTCCGCTCTCCTCGGTCCGTCTCTGTGCTGCCACGACTGGCGCGCTGACGCGTCAAATACGGCGGCCCGAAAGATCTGGTGTACCTTTTTTTTCCAAGGCTTTCTACTTGCGGATGGGCTCATTACTGCACAGCAGTTACTGCATAGCCTGTACACAGATGCACGCACATACACCTATATACAGTACATGACAGTTCTTTTGAATTCGTTTGATCCTTTATGACGTAGAATTTTGCTGCAGAATTGCCCGAACTTGCCCACTGCTCACATGGATCAAGCGACGCCCTGCGCGTTTCCGTTGTTGGCTTGAGATGTTTGGGAGCGATCACGGGCCAAGTAGTCTGCAATCACAGGCAATTCTCCTCAGCTGCGCTCACAAAGGCTTTGCATGTGGTTATGTCATTTCACCTTACTTTGGCATACTCTGGCTCTAGCTTACTTCTTTGAACCGTGGTGGACATGCAATCAAGAAAATTGAATGACTGGCTCAAGGGCTCCGAGTGTCCATGGTTTTGCATCCAACCCTTCAGCTCCAACATGCCAGGCGCATCCACCCGCTCCAGCTGTGCCAGTAGCGCCAGCTGCGCCCGGCCGTCAGCCGCATCCCGTGCCACCAGGAGCTGCCGGAGCTGGACGGAAGCCTCTCGCGCCCGATGCAGCTTGGACCAAATGGAGGCCGCCTCCTCGAGCGTGAGAGTGAGGGATTGGGGGTTGGTCTCATTGGAGTTCACACCATTCTGTAGAAGCACGTGAATCATCGGCATATGTTGATGTATATTGTCGACAGGTCGATCTCTGCCAAAGGCAGGCCTGATGGGTTAAATTCACGCAGACGGGAGATCTTCACATACCAATGCTCTTCACATACCAATGCTCTTCACATACCAATGCAATCAATGCAATCCCTTCCCAAAGGGTTTCCCTCTCCTCTAGTGGACTTGTTTTCAGAATGTATCGCTCAAATCTCCAAAACATGTGCCGTTCCGAAGAGAAGAGGGTGGCACACCGAGAGGCCGGTGGAACACCTGGGTGGACCTCCGGTCAGGGGATGCCTCAAATGGAACAGAAGCAACTGGCCCAAGAGAGGCTAAGCCAGCATCAGCCTGGGCCAGACTGGGTGCTTGGTCTTCGCACCCCCCCCAAGATATGTCCAACAGTCGGAATTCCACTGTGATCCTCTGTGGGATTCTAAGGGGAAAGGGTTGTAGGTCGTGTATTCACAGGCCCATCCTGCCAACGTTTGTCAGGGAGGACGGCTCATCTTCAGTGCCTTTTTCTTACACGACTCCATGCAGCTGAGTCAATACTTCTGGCCAAGCTGCTAAATAGGCCTCCCAATGTCCAGGCCAAATCTCCAGGGCCCTCCGCACCGCCTCTTGGGCTTCCTCCAAACGATCCATCTCTCGGAAGGAGCCGGCCAGTTCAGTATAAACGAGGGCCACTCGACCTATGTTGGCCGGTGGGCGACCGAAAGGCGGCCTCGGCCTTCGATCAGCGATCCCAGCAGTGTACGGCGAGTTGGAAGGGCAAAGAAAGTCATCCAGGACGGAACACGAGAACACCATTATAAGACATACTGTTGCATATGCCATAAGAATCTAGGACATACTATTTTAAGAACACCATTATAAGAATCTAGGACCAATTTGTAAGACATACTATAGCTATTATTCCATATGTAGATATATTAGTGGCTGGACACTCAGAAGCAATCGTTTATGACCCTGCCCCGGATTATCCCTCAAAATGATTCTGATATAATATACCACCCCTGCCCATCGTTGCCCATAGTTCTGCTGGGTGTATGCGCCACCATGCTGATTTGTCAGGTTAGGGAACTAAACCAACATTTTGGGGTGTTGCTGGAATCCATCTTCATCCTTTTGCTTCTTTGACCAAGGACACGCAGCCAGCCAGCCAGGACACGCAGGTCGCGTCTGATCCTCGACATCTTCAAGCAGCTTCGGAAGAGTGCGACTGCTTCTTCGCCTCGCCCCTCCAGCCGCGCTTGGTATCCTAAGTCACCCCCCAAGTGAAACGCATAAACCTGTGGACCAGTCCCATAGCTCAAAAAACATAGTCCGCAGTGGGTCAAAACCTGGAGCTCCAAACTCTGCTAGGCTCACCTATCTGATAATCTTTACATATCAACTATTGTTCTTTTATATTCTGTTCGGGCTCCAGTGGTCGACGGTCCCCCCTGTTGTGACAAAGGGAAAGCCACAAGGTACGGAGGTACAAAGGAAAGCGAGCATCCCTTTTCAATGGCCGAATCCACCTTTGCAACATTTGCAACTGAAGAGGTTGGAGCGGTTGCTCCTCTAGCTGCTGCAAAGCATGACCATTTGCCATCTTCCAAGGGGAACCGCCGCTCATCGTCCAAGTCTTTGGTACCGAAATAGCCCGCGGCATCTTTTCCAATGACCCAGCCTCTTGTGGCCTCCCCATTTGGGGCCGGCAAAACCTCCAGAGAGAGCCGGAAGCCATGGCCATTGACAAAGCTTGGACAGTGGTTGGAGATCCTAGGGGCACCACGAATTGTCCGCTGGAACATGATGGAAATGGACGCTTTCAGCTGGGAAAGAAAGAAAAAGGACATCAGCTCGGGCATCAAACCGAAAAACATATACCAGCACCTTCCAACAGGTCTCCTCTGAAGGCTTTTGTAGACTTAAAAGTCGCAGGTGGTGACCTGTTGGAAGGTCCTGGCAGTAAAACACTTGGTAAAGCCCAGGGATCTGATCTCTGCAAGGCTCATAGACTCCATTGACCTCCTTGAGGGATGACCCCTTCACCTCCAAACTCTCCACATGCGAAGCCGAAGCCTCGTCAAGCCCTTCCTCCGAAGCCTCGTCGTCAACCCCCTCCAGGTAGCAGGGTGCCAGGCAGCAAGGTAAAGAAGCATCCAGGGCCTCTCCCAAATTCTCCAGCAGCTCCTGGAGAAGCTAAAATAAGGTATACTGTATACTAAGTTACTGCATATATCTGCATATGATATACATATATACTACAATGCCACTATATGTAATAATGTGTGCGTCCAAACTCGCTCCGTAGATTGGCGATGGTCCTCTTGACCAAGGGTTGTCAACCTGACACTGTAACACTGTATATATATATATATATCTATCTATCTATAAACTTGCCGATTATTCGATGACCATGCTCCACCGACCCGGTCTAACCAGCTTCGACATCTTGTTCCCCTGTGTTCAGCAAATGGGGCACCAACCCGGCTCAAATCAATGTTTTCCATATCTTTCCATGCAACAAATCCGCGTTCTTTTCTCATCGCTTCCAGCGTCTATGCTGCCCAACAGAACGAGTCTGAGCCGGCAACTGGGCAACGGTGAGATTGTCCGGCGAGATGTAACACATGCCCACCTTGTAGTCTGCGTAGCCACCTTCGCGATCATGACGCACCCCACCCCGTGGCGGATTCTGCTTGTGCTCCACCGATCGTTTCTGCATATACAATCTTAAGAAGCCCTTCTTCGTGTAGTACTCGTCGTAGTAGGCATGACCTGGTTTCAAGAGCACCTCTGGGAGGTTCTCCCAAACCACCTGCGAAGGGTCGCATTCCACATAGGGTCCATGGTCGCCAAAGACCACGCGCTGGTATCCCTCAGCGATGAGCCTCTGTGGCTCCGAGGCGTCGAAGAGCTGTTCGGTGCCACCCGACTCTCGCAGGCCCAGCTCTGCTTCCACCCGCTCCTGGAACGCCGGCCATGGATCGTGCAACCGTGCTATGAATAGCCGTGGATGTAACACGAGTCAGTCCAATGGTGGCCCAGAAACAAACAAACAAAAAAACACATAGCCTGTCCTTGTCTCGCACACGATTCCAGCAGTCAGCCAGGCTGGTAGCCTCTGGATCTGCACCGCCATCACTTTCCTGTGCTTCATCGGCTGAGGCTTGCCTAGCACGATTCCAGCGGGTGCCCTGTAAAACCGGCGGCTTCACGCCCTCTGCCATGTCAAAGCACTGAAGTTAACGAAGTGAAGTTCTGCAGTCTGGGTGCTTCTATATCTAGTTATATGCATGCTTGTTGGGTGGGTTGGTGGGTGCGATATATGTATATCTATATATGTGTATGTCTATATATATATATACTGTGTAAATATATATATATATATATATCTGTGTGTCTTTGTGTGGGAGAGAGAGTAGTGCACACTGGATGGCATCTATCGCCCTATCGCCGGGCGATAGAACCCACCATGTTCACGAGATGTTTCTACCTCTCGAGGGTCTCGGTGCCCTCGTGGGCCCCCCAAATGCCGGTCCCATGGCTTGTTGCATGCTCCACCCATCACGGTTGCTCGTCGCTGGACTTGAGGCACTGATCATCACTGATCCCTTAATGGAAACAGCGTCCTTGTCTGCTTGTCCTTGTTTCATGTCCAATGACACGACTTTCGTTTAGCTTGGCTGAAGAAATGGCTGCTTGAGAAGCGGGAACGAAAGCGAGAGAATACTTTTTTGCCCATTCCACCACCATCGGCAAGAGAATGACCATCAATGAAGACGATGGTGTACCCTCTGATGCTTCAGCGCTAGCGCTAGTGTCACCAACAAGACTTGTGAAAATGCTCGAACCCTCATCTGGAACAACCTTTGACCACCTTGGACTGCCTCCGACCGAATTCACAGTAGAGGAAAACGAACGAAGCTTGCATTGGGATTTGCCGTGCCCACACACTCCATGCATGGCATATTTGCATACATGGGAGTGGTTTTGGGGGTCAATGTAGGCATATATACATATATTAATATGTATATACCATACGTGGAGTGTCTGGGATGGGTTATCGGGAAGAGGGTGAGATCTTGTCCAGGGTGGACGGGGCTGACATGCTGTCACAACTGATCGGCTCCTGACACTCCTTCCGCAGCTTCTTCTGCCCTTCGGGGAGCATCAGCCAGCACTGCTTTGCCAGTAAGGCGGCCGGGCCATCATCTGTCTCTTCGTAAAGCTGCGCTTTCAACAGAAGTGCTTCAGGTAAGCTGGGCCACAAGTTGAGGGCCTCCTTTACTTCAGCCCTTGGCTTCAAGATGCTTGGAGCTTCTGAACTTCATCACTTCTTCAATGTTATCAAAATGCAACTTTGGTCCCAACAAGATTCTCTCACTGGGAGGACAAGAAGTGACCGGCAGCATCTCCCAAACAATCCTCATACGTGGAAGAACCAACACGTTAGGAAGAACCAACAAAGATCAACAAAGAAACCATCGAGGAAATCTATACCGCTGGTATAGCATAGTGAGAGAGATATCAAGCAAGACCCTGAGAGGAACCCTCTTCGACCCTCTTTATCAACGGCCCCTTGTGATCTTCAGACTGCTTCCCATAAAAAATCAAGTGTTTCTTTGTACGATCTCGTACGTAGCACGCCGTGTGTCAGAGCTGCATCCTTCTGCTGGCACCTGCATAAGAGCTGAGCCAACTCCACATGGAGCCTGGCACAGCCCCTCCCAGACGCAAAGAGCATGGACTTGTAGTGAAAGACTTCTCCTGGGAGTGGGGCAGGGCATTTTTTGGATCCGGTGCCCACGGCTCTCAATGGCTGAAGAAATCCAGACTTGTGTAAGTTTTTGTTTTTTGTGAACCAGGATTGACGTTATATATATATATATATGTTTTTTTTTGTTTTGTTTTTTAGTTTTTGCTTGTTGGAGCGGGGTCGGGCTGACAAGGGAACCTTACCCAACAATAGTGATGAGGTTGTACCAATTACTGGACCCCTTGGCACTTGGATAAACCATCTGACAAACTGATAGACCTAATACATATATATATATATACACATACATGTTGCACGTGTAACTATATATATGTGTGTATATATCTGTTATATATATAGATACAAGTGTGTTTAGACACCTCTGCATATATATATATGTTATATACGCATATGTCTATACAGTAGTACCTAAGAAAAAATATCTACACCTATAGATATACAAATCATTGCAACAAATATATGTATATATATACAGTACACACACATATATGTATATATTTATATACACACATCCTGTATCTTGGAAGCCTCTAATGCAACGTCCAGGTCTCGGAAAGCCTTCACCGCCAAGTGCAGATCCCCAGCGAAGGCTCTTTGTCGTGCTTCCTCCAGGGAAAACTGGGGCAACTCGGAGGCGCTGAGGAGGTGTAAGGTGGGAGCAGGGGGTGGACCTTGAAAGCATTGCCATCCACTCATCGGGATGCTCTCCTTCCGCTCGGCGACGCAACCATAGGCTGGAACACCATCTCGACCAATGATCCAGCCCCACTGGAGCTGTCCAGTTTCATCAGGAGAGCGGCACGCCGACAGGCTAAACTCCTCACGCCAAAAGGAAGCTTCGAGAGCAACTCCCCTTCTAGAGACCCAGCTGGAATTCGCATGAATTAACAAGCCTGCAGAGCTTCTTGCTAGCCCAGCCTTCAGATTGCCATAGACTGGCAAGTCCTCATAGGAGATGTCCAATTGCCTGGTGAAGACCCCATTGATGTCGACCGCGCCCGCAGCCTTCACTGCAATATGACTGGGCCACTGCATCTAGCTCCCGCAGCCTGCGGCGAGAGTAATGATGACTACGTATAGCTTGATTTGAGCGATTGAGGGAGGATGTGATGTGTAAAGAAGCCAGCTACAAACCCCCACCTGGCATCTCAAAACCACTGCTTGTAGAACCCCTAATCTTCCTCTCAGTGGTCAGGCCCTTTCCGGCCTTGGTCCTCGCTCCGCCTTCCAATGCTTCAGACTCGACTTGAAGGGTGGGTCGGGATGGTCATGATCGGTCGCGATTGGTTGATGTTGAATCCTTGAGCCCGGGTTCTTGACGCATTCAGATCGGCCTTTTCATGGCCGTATCCAAGGACCCCCCCGTCTTCAGGCCCCCCCTGCCAGGGGAGGTTGGGGGTGGTTAGGGCGTTCATCATCTTGACGCATTCAGATCAGCTTTGATCCGGGCGTCGACTGGAGGCCGATGGTTCGAAGACCACACCCAGTGGGGCTGTTCAGGACAAGATGTGCCAGAAGTAATGGAAAGGTAGAGGTCACCGACACTCATGTCAACGTAATGACTAGGTCACAACGGCTCTGGTTGCAGGGCCTGCCCGACTTGCCCATTATTGGTAGAACGTGGTACAAGTAGGTAGAACATCTATCTCAGGCATCTTTGCGTAGCAATGCGCCACAAATGTACTCATGCATGTTTACTAGAATTCTTTGGAAGTTTCGTCTACCCCTGAGCCACTGCAAAAGATTCACAACAGGGCCCTTGCTCCCCGCCCCTGGATTACAGATCATTGCAGGAGATATTCACCAAGAAACTCCCTCCGCCCTCCGCGTTTGGTAGGGAAGCCACCCCCCAACCAACAAATCATCTGCTCAGAGCTGCCTAAGGAATCCACTTGAGTCACTTGAGTCACGTGCCAGTGCATATAGCTCCCTGGAAAACGGACATGGAACCTGAAAGCACCGGTCTTTATAGCTTGAACATGAGGAACCACGTCAGTCTGAGTCTGAGGAAACATCTGCTCTCGGCAGCAGGTCCTCTTCTCGTTGGTCTTTCTCGCTGGGTTTCCCAAGCACATTGGCAAAGTACTTCAGAGCAAACTGCTTATGTTCCAGGCGCTTGGCCTCAGCGGGAGAAAGCCCGGCACGAGAGAAAGCTAAAAACAAAAAGCTGAATTGGCCAAAGAGGGTTGGTGTCCAGCAGCAGTCTTTCAATCTCGGACATTGGGTGGACAAGAAGGCCTGGGAAAATGTTAAAGAACAACAAGCTGATTCGATCACTCTGAAAAACAATGACGGAACCGAACAACACATAACACGACTGGGAGCAAGAACTGTCTGCTTCGCTTCCACTCCCACTGAACATGGACCTTTTCGGCATGGGGCCCCCACAAATCCATGATGTCATATTGTACCCCTAAAGCCACCTACAAGTCATGGAAGCTAGGTACTGCTCCAGCACCACTCCACGCTCGCCGCGAGCTCGCCCACGCATCCGGACCACAGCAGGGCTGCTCTGCTTGGCTTGGCGCTTGGTCTCAGCGCGGAGTTTGAGGACCTGCCACGGTTGATACAAATTTAAATTCAAATGATCATATATATATATACAGTATATATATATATATCGTATTTCAGGTGCGGGTCAATATTGGATGTCTGGTATGGCTTCAGCTTAGTTCAGACTTGGGGGCTGGAATCTGTTTGAGGGATGTCGGTATACTTGTTAGAATTTCCAGCTATGTGACTGGCTGCCCCATCAACGTCAACATGAACGGACCGCCTCGTCGAGCATCAGCGGCAGGAGGCCTGTGCGGACCTGCGGGCCTGGCAGGCCAGGCAGGTGCTGGCCAGGCCACGAAAGCGCAGTCCAACATGACCAGAGGGATTCTGTTTTAAAACAAGTACACCCTGACTCAACTAACATGGAAGTGGAAAGTAGTCTTCCAGGGGACCATTCTCCACTTCCATATGAAAAAAAAAATATTATATGCACCGTGCCCCTGTAGTTGGTGAAGCGAGTGCTGACCGGCGTGCCTCCATGTCTTTTGGTGAGAAGGTCCCCCACAACAGCTTGTCACTCTGGCAATCTCTTTCAATTCCCTTTGCTGGGTGAGGAGTTTGTTTTTGTTGGCCGCTATGTCATGAAGCTCGGAGAAACCAAGCTTCCAGCTTGCAAACAAAGCTCCGCTCGCCGCCAAATGTACCTCATCGAAGCCAAAGATGCAAGAACCCCCCCTCACATGCCCAACACCTCAGCAAGGGCAGTGCCTCCCTAGGCCCTACGGCAGCTTCTCGAGTTGCCAAGAGCATCAAGTGACTTCAACAATAGGGGTGCTCCTTAGTGGATCTTGGTGGTTTTGAATCAATGTTTCTCTGGACCACGATGCCCCGAACCGATGCTCAGCCCAGTACTGGTTTCAGTCGTTCACCGCCCCCGATGGGCCGCCCCCCCCG